CCAGTCAAACACATACCAAAAGCATGGTCCAAGCATGAGTGTGCATTATATGACAATAATTTTTTTTTTATTTTAAAGAAGGTGGACATACCAAACCAAGCGGATCTCTTCCTGCATTTTTAATGGGTTATTGCTGTGCACAAGCCACCTTGAGATAAACATCACAGCAAAGATAACTTACTTTATCTTCACTGCGATGTAACATAATGATGACTTTAGCCGGTAAAGCTCTTCGCAGTGGGAAAAAAGGATCTTCCCCAGCAAGGCATTTATTATCACAAATTATAGGATATATTTCTGGTGCAATTTTACTGCTTTAATTTTCTCATTTTCTCCTTGTAGTCACTTTCTCTGGGGGAAAAGACCTGTCTGCGCTGCCCGAAAGGGAGCACTGTAATTGAAAAAGGGGCAGTATCAGCCCCTCGATAATTAAAGTTAACCTTTTCCCAGCATGACCACACTAGCATGGACGTTTGCGTGAAGCAGATGGATTTGCCAACCTCTCGGGCTAAAGTTTAATCTTGGATATTTTTGCTTTTCTGTACTTTTGCCAGAAACAGCAAATGCTCACGGGACTGGATCTATGCCGTGTTGCAGTCCTGCAGTCAGAATGAAGGTCTGAGCCTTGGATTTACGCTCAGAGCCGATTTTCACAGCTGCAGCTACTGGAGAAACCAGACCCAGTTTTCTGCGAAGCACAGAAATACAGGCTGAACACAAGAAATTGATTTAATTCCTTATCCGTTCATTATATCCTAAATCGTGCCAGGAGTGAGGAGTGGAGGATGATGCATCACCAGCTTTGAAGGACCATGGGATGCCCAGGGAGAGCACAGCACCTGGGCATGGTTGGGGAAGGCAGAGTACAAACCCCCATCTCATCCAGAGACAAAGTGCAATACGTTGTGGTGCTAATGGCCACATTTTTTCTCAGCAGAAAATAAATTTTGTTGCTAAAATCTGAGTATTCAGGCAACTGGAGACATGGACTGCTAGCATAAAAACTCGCTTTAAGAAACACTACGGTACTGACTGCAAGCGTCTCAAGCAATGGTGCACATCGACTGTATCTAAAAGTTTTCAAATGCAATCTAATGCAAACTGCACCCATAGGGAGAGGCGTGCAGGGTCCAGCCAGGCATGAGCTTTTGGTCCCCCCGGGAAGGACACGTGGAGGAGCAGCTACCCGCTTTCCTTGCAGGGGGCTCCAGGAAACACAGGGCACCCTGGCAAATATTAGCTAAGAAAACATGTTTTGGGCTGACATCTGGCTCTGGATGCAGTGCCTAAATATCAACAGCTTTCATGACTGCTTCACAGCAGGGAAAAATGAAATTAATCTTTTTTGTCGCACAATAACGAAACTCAATTTCTAGAGGACTCTGGAGGGAGAGGGGCCATCCATTAAAGCAAAACCTATTGACTACAGTACAAAAACACCACCAGAATCTCCCAGCGGGCTTTAGGTACCTGGCACACCAGCGTTAAATGCCAAAGTGCCTTTAAGTATCCTAAACTTGTATTTCTACAGAGTAGTCACTGACCAGCCTAGGTGTTTAGAGATGCTATAAATCAAAGGAATAGGATTAACATCCAATAAAGCTTCAGCGGGAAAAAATATTCTTGCATAAAATTAACCCAGCCTTAGCTAGTCAAGAATGCCACTTTTTAAACTAAGGCATTTAAAGATTATATGAAGATTTGTACCCATCTGTCACTTTTGGCCTGCTTTCATTTTATAAAGCTTCCTTAGTCAAACTTCAGTAAAAATCTTGTCAACATTTGACTATTTTTAGATGAACTCACTTTATTTGGTAGCTCTGATATACCTTTTCCTAAAGGGAAAGATTTACAAGAAGAGGCATTAGGATGTCGAGTCCACTGAAGCTGCACGTTATTAATATTGCTGCTAGAAAGGCCAAATTAACATGCAAAATTGTACGAAAAGCCCAAGCCATTTTAGTGCAGTTCTGTTTTATTCTGGCAAATGGATGCAGCTGAATTCTACCCACTTTGGGAGACATCCCTGGGGCGAGGGGAGTTAGCTGGGGGTGAGCACTCTGTGAACTCTCAGAAAATGGCCCTTCCAAGAGGGACGGGAAAGGTTTCCTGGATGGAAAAGGTCTGCTGCCTTGCTGTGGAAGTGCTCCCCTACATGCAGCACCCTGCCACAGTCGGCTACTGACCCCTTGGATCACGTACCTTAAACATTTAACTTTCTAGTTTCGCTGGCTGACACATAGCAGAACTCCCAACTGCTCATGAATACAGAAATTAAACCCTTGACAGTGCTCTCCGGGATGAGTTTTGTTGATGTCTCAGGCAGTCCCCTGCCAGACAAAGTTGTATTTTCCCCTTACATCACAATCACTTTCATTTTCACTATTTTGATTTTTAAAGATTTCTTTCTTCATTTTGTGTGTACCACCAGCAGCTTGATCCTCTCATTAAATTGACTTCGGTATGGACAAACACTAATAAAAGAAAAATGTCAGCAACACAACTGCTTGAGCGCTGAATAGCTGGAGCGCTCGGGATCACAAACAGCTGCTGCAATTATATTTAACTGCCCATTTTCCATGCTTTGCTCACAATCAGAACTTACTTCAAGAGCAGGTAGCACCATTTCTGCTTTTGTAGTAAACAAGTGACATGATTAGACTGACGAGCAGGCTCCATCTCCGTGTTTTAATCTCTAGAGTTGTCTCTACCTGACTGGGAAGCTGAAATTCTGGCTTTTTATTTACAGCAAGCTGTGCTCTCTCTCCGTTCTGAATCTGTGTATACGCTGAGACTTTTCTAAACTAGTTATTTATGTAGCTTCTCATTTCCACAGGATTGTTTTATTGCATGATATAAATCCCCAAATGTGTGTTTCAAACAGTTTTAATCTTTATTTTCTCTGTACAAACATGCAGTTTTCAATAAAGGAAAATGTGTGCTTTTTCTTCTGACAGGAGTCAGTAATTTCCTCCACTGCATTTCTTCCTTCCTAACAAACTTCTATCAATCAAAATAACTGGAGAGATGAAGTGACCAAACCAGGAAAAAAGATTTACATGATTCATTGGACTGGTAAATTCTGCGTTAAAAAACATAAACGGAAGCAACAGAAAGCAACAATTTTCGAAGCTTATTTTTTACGCATCATTAAAAACAGGCCATATGTGATTAAACAAATATCCCATGCCCTCATTTTAACTCTGCTGTCTTTTGAGAACTCATGCGACTCCTTAAGTACGTGACGTGTGTAGTCTGCAAGTAGCACCATACGGGGCTCAAGAGCATTCGAGATCAAAGCAGTTTAAGAGAATCAGGCTTATTTATTGGGTGAGTGCATGAATAAAATTGATAAAGTAATAGAGCGCTGTAATTACTTGAAGTTACTAAAGCTCACAGCCCTGTAAGTACCCAAAACGTGCAGTCTGCAAATGGCATTTTAAGTTGCTCGAGCGTCTTCGAGATCAAAGTAGCTTAAGAGAATTGTACTGCTAGTGAGTGGGAGTCTGAGTAGGAGTCTGAACAAAGTTGATAAGTAGTTTGAGCATTTTAAGTACTTCAGGGCACTGCAGTGTGAGTACAAAGTAATAGGACAAAATAACACCAGCCTGTCAGTGCTTGGTTTTAGATGCTGGGCTAGTGATGAGAAAATCAGAAGACAGTGATTTTAGCAGAGTGCCATCTAACCAGGTCCAACCAAAACAGTGATCCACTCGGAATGGTGCCTGGCAAACACCCTCTGAATGGGATGAAAACCCCAGTTATGAGGTCTAGGCTTCTGCCTAAAACAGCTGGAAGGAAAACCTGGAGCTGAGCTCAGCATGGTTCCCCAAGGGCACCACAGCGCCAGGTACGGTCAGGGGGATAAGAGAAAAAGAAAGTGCCACCAAGGATTAAGAAAAACCCAAAAATGAGGACGTACTAAGTATAAACTCTTTTTGCACTACAAGGCTGCCCGAGGCCGGTTTGTAGGGCTGCAGATGAAAGGAGATGGTGTGTTGCAGCTCTCAGCCATGAGTGGTTAAAGTGGAGAGACAGAGAGCAGCGTCTTTCAGGTAAAGCTAAGAAATGAAGGATGCCGAGAGATGCGCTATTGGGAGCGCAGTGAGCCAGGCGTGCACACACCTGGGTGGAAAGACATGGTTTGTCTGTAAAGACATCTGTACACACTGCCAGTCCACTCGCTGCCGTGAACACTAATTCAGCAGTAAAATAATGAACTGTTCTTTTTGTTCGATTCTTTCTTTGTAAGGTATCTAAACACCAAGAAACTTGGTGAGAATGAGGGGAGTGGGCCTATAGCATATATGGGTGGCTATTTTGGAAGATCAGCAAAAAACATCAACAGCATCTCTTTTTTTCTCTGTAACTGTAAATAAGACCATGCATCAGGACAACTCTGTGAAGGATCCAAAAGCTGGAAGACATCTCTAACTACTTTGAAACAAAATGCTAGTAAAAAGTATTAGCTGTAACTAAGAAAACCTCCAAATTATTAAGATGTACATATCAAAACTGAAAGCCCTTGTAACTGCACTGTTAAAATGCCTCCAACACTCTACACATTACCTGGTTTTGGCTATCCACATGCATCATGTCACATTTTAAAATCAGATTCTGTGACTACCCAGTACACTCTTAGCTAAGTGAGCCCCAAAAATAAGTTAGCAGTGAAGGAGAAACCAGTAGAAACCAGGTCGCACCACTTGCAGAGACAATAGAGAGGCACGGCTAGATCAATCAACATCAGTGCATAACAAAGGACAAAGCCCTGTTAAAAAAAATAACTGTCCATTCAGCTAGTTAGTATTCAATCACTGAAGTGGAAAATTTTCTATCTCAACTCGATTTTAGGAGAAAGAAATGTTTCACTGAGTCACCTCATACCTTTGAGGACAAAGTTCAATTTGCCAGCACACGCACTAGTGTTCAGAAGAAAGACTGAAAGTGAGCAGGTTTTTTTTTAGTAAAATGTAACTTAGAAAGAAACACAAATATACCTGCTTCATCATAGGATACAGTCAATTTTTCCAGCATTTCTCGATCAATTGATAAAATCTGCTGTTCCAGGATGGTTTGGTAAGACAGCACACTGTTCTCCTTGTCCTTCTCATAGTCTTGAAGATGTTGTTTTAGGACTTCAGGCAGGCGGGACTTCACATATTCTGCTGCCGACTATGCAGAAAAGAGGCAAAGGTTTAATTAATACATTTTCTTTTGACAAGCTTTATACATATCCATAGCTTTTTTTTTTTATTTAAAGCATTCTCAAATGTAACTCCTCACAATAAAACAGTCTTGATGCTGCTAACTCCATGGTGCAAAATCCACAGGTCATTTCTCTGCCAAAATGACCCCGTCTGCCCCAAGCTTCCAGGGAGTCGGGGATATAACGGACCAAATTCCCCTGAGCTGAGGCATGACCCACACTTCAGCAGGGAGTTTAAGGCAGTCCAGAAAGCGTTACCCATGCTGGACTAGACACATACATACCACAATAGCTCAACTTCTTCATCGTTAACGTATTTTGAAACTACAACTATGAAATAGAACGTCTTTATTCTAAATTTTAAAGTACAAAGTGACAGAGCGGAATCACTTCACCTGCTATTGATACACAACTGGGCTCGGACAGGGAGACAGAAGTGAACATTTAACAGCATTAAAAAATGACATATACATATATACACACGCATCCACACACAGAATATTCTTTTAAAATTTTTATCCGACTGCTCGAGGCCATAAGGAAACAGAAATTAACACAAGGTGGCATGGTTGTACCGATGTTATGGAGCCTTGTGCAAAAACGTAAATGGTAGTAAATAATGACAGCATCTGCCTCTGGAGAGGTGTTGGTCCCCTCAGGATCCCTGCCGCCACTGGAACAGCTCTCTCCCTCAGCGCTGGGGCTCAGACACCTTGGTGAGATCCAAACACAAACCAGCTTTCTGGTTTTTAAGCATTAGCATCCCTCTCCAGCGCGTATTACACTCCCACTATAAGAGGGAACAGAAGATCCCTCCTTCTGGCATGGGTTTGGTTTTTTTTTTTGCTCTCCCTCTCTGATAGAAAAGGAAGATGTAGCAGAGGCTGCTGCCCAGTGCTCCAGCTTTCCTGCCAACCTCAAGACAAAAGAGAAAAATAAATGATGACAAGGTTGTATTATTTCAGGCCTGGAACTGACCAGAAGTTACCTTTACTCAGCCACACGCTGTTCCTGGGTTTCTATTTAGTTTTCCAAAGTAATTTGCTGGTTAAATTGCAACCTTAAAATATCACTGAAGTTGGGTTAAATTTTTCTGCAAGCTAAGCCAGGTGAGACAAATGAAATCATTCTAGGAAAACTACATGAACTCTCCACATGAGTACAGCATATTTAATGTTACATTTTAATAGTGATTTTCTTCCAAGGGAAGGCCAAAAGATACACGGTATACTAATTATTTTAGTCCAAATTCAGGCGTTTGTGCTTAATGTTTCCTTTGAGAAGAAGTTTTACTCTGCGGGGGAGTATTTTTGTGCTCTCCCTAGCACAGCAATTCTAAAGAGCAGAAAACAAAAGAATATACATATTCATTTTCTGAAATACGTCTTGTGCCAGCCGAGTGAATATTTCTATACTACCGGCTGTAAACACATAAGGAAAAATACCCATCCTGTCCCAAAGATCTTGCAGCCCAAGTAAAAGTCAAGAGACAGATGGTTACAAGCAGATGGGAAGACCGTCGGGACCACCGGCCACGGCCAGCATGACGGACAGCTGTTGCGAGCCACGTGCAGCCCAGTCGCCAAGTTTTTCCACAGGCATCGAGGCCGAGGATTACACCGATTTCAAGTGCAATCTCACAGGTGGTTTTTTTTTTTCCCCTTGGTGAGAAGCAAAACCCAACAGTCTTGCTTAGTTCACTGCCTTTCGCATTACGTCTAGATGTCATTAAAGATTTAAACCATAAAGCAATGATGGAACTGATACAAACTCCTCTCCTTTCCTAGCAAGAAAAGTGATCAGCCACATCTAAGTAATTACATCCCTAGCTGCACTGCAGCAATGAGACATAGTACTGTATTCTGTTCACTACAAAAGTAATTTTATCTTGGTTTTAAAAAGTCACTTCTAGTATGTGGAATATTCAAAAAGAAAAAGTGTGAGGGTGTGAATGCATGTGTTTATGCATGTGCTTCGTATTAAAGAAACCAAGAGGCTACTGGGTGAATAAAAATGAAAAAAAAAAAAAATTAAAAAGAAAGACTTCCACCATTTCCATGCTCTTCCATCTTACCTCAGTTCTCATTGCACAGACCACAGTATTCAACTTCTGAGTAAATCAGAAACTCTCCCTGCACCCCTTACGGATTCTGGTGCAGACTGCAGCCCGGAGACCCGTTTGCCGGGATGCCGCTCACCGGCGTCCTGCTGGCAGAGCGTCCCATCCCACCACGCCGGCCAGCCCGCCGGCAGCTCGGCCGCTCCTCCTCCAGCCGGTGCTGGCGTCCCCCCCAGCTCTCATGAAATCTATTGTCATTAACGTATGTATTTGCATCACAGGCAGAAGTTAGGGGGGAAAAACCCCATTTCACTACTTTGAGGCTTCAAAGTAGCTTTATCCTCTTTTCCTCTGTACAGTCCCTCTTACTCCTGCTGGAAGGAGTTACAAACCTAGGTGCTCCAGCACGGGAAGAACATGGACCTGTTGGAGAGGGTTCAGAGGAGGCCACAAAAATGATCAGAGGGATGGAGCACCTCTGCTGTGAGGAAAGGCTGAAAGAGTTGGGGTTGTTCAGCCTGGAGAAGAGAAGGCTGCGGGGAGACCTTATTGCAGCCTTTTAATACTTAAAGGGGGCTGATAAGAAAGATGGGGACAGACTTTTTAGCAGGGTCTGTTGCGATAGGACAAGGGGTAATGGTTGTAAACTAAAAGAGGGTAGATTCAGACTAGATAAAAGGAAGAAATTTTTCACGATGAGGGTGGTGAAACACTGGAACAGGTTGCCCAGAGAGGTGGTAGATGCCCCATCCCTGGAAACATTCAAGGCCAGGCTGGATGGGGCTCTGAGCAACCTGATCTGGTCGAAGATGTCCCTGCCCATTGCAGGGGGGTTGGACTAGATGACCTCTAAAGGTCCCTTCCATCCCAAAGCATCCTATGATTCTATGATCCTGGAAAATGCCCGACCTCAGCCATGAGTTATAGCTACAACTAACTGCACAACATTTGCTGGTCAGTCTTCCTCACCAGCACCCCTATGAGAAAGTAACTTGGGAGCCGTACACACTGCAGCAGTGAGAGATGCAAAGAAAGGGTGGTCCTGCTCGTGCAGGCACCCCCCCACAGATCGCTGCCTCAAAGCAACCACCTAACAGAAATGCCCATTGCTGAACTGTTACCTCTCTCGGTCACAATAACCTCCTATTTTCTGGCAAGAATTTATGCATTTCTTTTATAAAATTGAAACTGCAGCATGCCCTGTGAATCTGTTTTCAGTCTGAAGCACCCTTCTCCAAACTAAATAAAGGATTGACTTTAATACCTTAATTGACTTTAGGGTATTTCATCCTACCATGGAAAACTAATATTTCATATATATATAGAATAAGTTTTAGAATATCTACATACAATGAAATATACGTGCAGAGCTTATTCACAAAAAATCACATTTTTCTCTATTCGCTAAAAAAAAAAACTACATAAAAATCACATCAGGAAAATGCTGAAATCCCCCAACTGTGTGGTAACCTGAACCTCAAATGCAGCCAGCATCCTTCTGTAACTACCAAATTTGCCCACATCTTTTAATTGATGAGAAACACATATCCAAAGTAAATTTCCTTTTTATAAATTATGCTAACTGCCTGCTAAAATTTGCTCTGCTTTTCTGAAGTGTATCCTTCTGGGAGCTCCCTTGTACGTGGGGAAGTAATGGTCTAAAATGGTTAATTAAAGGCTTCTTTATGAAGCTACTTCAAAAGTCAAGTGGCGGCTTGATAAAGCAGTCTCCTTACAGGGTTACACTGGGTGATTTTGGAAAGGCTTTGAACACACAGAGTATTTGGCATGTGGAAGACCGCCACACGCGTAAGGGACAGTTGCGTCCCTGCTCATCCTCATCATGTTCTGCAGGCTGCTACAGCTCAACGCGTGCCATAGCCTGCCTTTACCAACCCACTTGACCTTTAAAATTCAGGTTTTCACCAAAGCAAACATAGTGATCTTGCGTATTTCTGGCACTTGAAACACACAAGCAGGTCTCACTAAATTGTGTTATCACCGGATGAACGCCGGGCACTGGCAAACCCTCTCCAAGGGGTGATGCCCTGGGAATCTGCTTGCTGTCTGCCCCGCAGCGGGGTTCAGTAGGAGGAGCAGGATGGCAGAGCATCCCGGCCAGCTCCTGAATTATGCGGCTCTCCAAGCAAATGCTTGCCCACAGAGAAGATACACCTCCATGGGCACACGTGTAAACATGCAAGAAGTGACCTGAGTACTCTACGACAAAATGTGTTAATTAAGATGTCAAGTGTTAAGCAGCTCCACGACCCCATGAAAAACCAGGACTGCAAACAAGAGCTATGGCAAGATCAGCACACTGGCACATCAAGCAACTGAAGGACCTAATTAGCTGGAACAGCCATTATTTATAAACACAGATTTCCAATTTAAAAAATGGAAGATTGAGACTATTGCCTCAGACCCGCACTCCACACCGACTCCCGTGATTTACAGGGAGAGGAGGGAAACCATGAATTTATGATCTTAATATTCCTGAGATAATTCATTCTGCCTGCCCAGCTACTGCAAACATCCAGAGACTATGAGAAAAGACAGGATCCATTTTAGACCGTGGTATTGCTGGCATAGCACGTACACCACTGAAGAATTAAAAAAACTATTGAGATTCCTCTATCGCATCTTGCTGCCTCTCATTTTCACACGCTTCCCTCCCCTTCAAAGACTCGTGGGTCACTACAAGTTTCCTTCTTCAGAGATGATACACCATGAACTGCTGGGCAAGAACGGAGTTCACCTTATGAAATAGAGGACTTTCAACTTTGTTCACCTCCTGGTTTACCTCAGGGAAATATTTTTTTTAAGTAGGATCAAGTAAGTTTGACAAATGAAAGTCTGAGGTGGGTACAACAAATGAACATGGGCGTAAAGCCTGTGGAAGATAGT